ACTTGAGGAACTTTCATATTAATCAGGGCCACTGAGTCAAGGACACTCACTGGCATGTATCCTATTTAACATCCCTTTAGAAAGCGTTATGAGAAACATGCATGTGCGCACCAAATGAACTATCACAAACAACTTCCAGAGAAACATACATGTGAGCACAGGATGAACTATCACAAACAACGTATCAGAATCTCAACCATCAGGACACCAACCAACTTTAAAAAGCCCAACCAGTGCAGTACCTGGCATATGCAGACAACATAGCTTTACCGGGGAGAAGCAGCATTGATATAATTTAAGCATTCCATGAATTAGAAGAGTTACCTCTAAAGGTAAATGAAGCGAATACAAAGTGTATGTTAGTCACGTATCAGACACACAGGTGACAAAATCAAAGTAAACAAGCACACCAGAGAGAGAGAGTGAGTGAGCGAGAGAGACAGATGAAATAATGACAGAGATGAAAGAAAGGATAAAAGCAATTTAAATGTGCAGGCTGCTTTGGGCAAGAAACCTTGAGAGGATATTGGATTGTAGAGCAGCAAAAGTGATCTACAGACAGAGGCCTAGGGGTTAACGGCTCATCTGTCGACCAAGACTGATATGGATTGAGTTGTAAAGGACTAAAATCACCTGGAAGTGTAAAGTCATGGATCAGCTTAAAAGGGAGGATGTTGTAGAGCAGACCAGTCCCCTATGATGGGCTGTAGCACCTATGATGATGATGTCTGAATGGAAGGATGTGGTGAAACAGGCCAGGGCCCTACTAATGATCAGCATTAACAAATTGATCTGTTTATCTATCTCTATTTCTCCCATTTAGCAGCATACTTATTATTATAATTATTTAATTTTAATTTTTGGATGATGTTTAAGAATGATCAACACATAATTAAGTCTAGACATGGCTATAAATTGAAAATCAGCATGTACTATAGATCCCTATTCAAAGGCCTATTTACACAAAAAATATTTCAATGGTATAAGTGGGCCTTTAAGTCGGTCACAGGAGGTTTTCACCAGGTACATTGATTCTATTATAGAAAACAATAAGATTGTGTCTGTGTGTGAGCATATGACTGATTCTGTTCAGTGTGGTTACGGTATATATATGTAGAAAAGTGAAGTGAGTCGCTGTTATACATAATACTGAATGTTTATTAGTTTTAATTCTTTCTAATAAGCAATTATTTTTAAGGTTTCGAAGAAAACCTTTAAAATAATTTCCCAGCCAAAACTGAGAGAGTACCGTTAACTAATAAGCAGATTACACACTTTTCAGGGTTTTCCTGGCCAAAACTAAGATTGTGGTTGGCTTATGATCCATTGGGAATAAATTTCCAAGATCCCAATAATGGCAAGTTACCACAAGATTATTACCCAGTGTGATAAATCAAGCATCAAGTTAAAATGTGAAAAAAATAAAACCAAAAATATTTTTTTTTAAATTAGTGGCATAGGTAATGAAAAATAAATAGAATAAAAAGGACTGGATTTACCTGAAGTAAAATGTTGACCAGTCATTGCCCTGGCATGTCATGATTCATCCTGCACATTCATCATAAGAGCAGCTGTGAATTCTGGCAGTGATGGGGGTCTTCAAGTGATCTCTGTGAAAACAACAACTTTAACCTGGAAGTAAAATAATACATTAATTAGTAGAAGACAGAAACTTTATTATATTAGAGACAAGCTTGCATTAATATGAAGACAATATCCTATGAACAATTTTAACCTGAAAGTTACCATCATAAAAAGTACCAAAAAAATTAATCACACACTTGGTGTAATCATTGCTTTTACACCAGCCATGTTTGCATGGGTGTTTCGACAAAAAATTCCTGGTTCTCTAAGGGAAAGTTGAATAGTTTTGTTTATTTAATCTATTAAATAGTTAAAGTCCAAGCACTATTGGAATTAGGGAGGTGGTGTTAAATGAACAAAAGAAAACCTTCAAAATGGTCACGTCAAGCTCAGTGCAAGATTTTAACTACAACTGCATTACAGTTAAAAAATTTTAATGTGGGTGTTGGATTTTTTCTTGGCCGACGCTCAAGTGGTAGATTACCTATAGTTAGCCACTTAAATACAAAATTGAAAAAAATTGAAATAATTTTTTAAATAACACAGTTAGTTAGAGCAAATTTCAAATAAAAAAATGAAACCAGAACCAACTTTTTAGCTTAAGTACTTTTTGAGCTATGAATTTTTAAAGTGTGAGTTCGTTTGGTATTATTTACTATGGACGAAACCTCCACATCTTGTGACCTCATTCCGCTGATTGCGTCATGCGCAATGACTATATACTTTATATAAGGCAACGCATCGCCTTATCACTAAAATACTGTTTAGGGTCCACTTAGTTTAAATTTTCAACTTTGGCACATGAATAATTAATTAAAGCTTTCCCTGACCAATGGTATAGTAGTTTTTGCACACGGCAAACTCTTATGAATGAAACTCTGAGGTAGTACTACGATACAGCCATTATGCAAGTGGCTGTGAATGGTTGCCAATGACAACGTGTTGCACACGGTAAATTCGGATCATTTATAATATGGATTCTACCGGGTTATTAAAGCTCAAATTAAAACATTCCAGTTTAAATGTCTTCCAAATGCATTCTGAAACACAAGTTATCAATTTTTTTGATGTAAATAGTGATAATAAATTAATATTTCCTAAGTATCGGCAACTTCCGCCATTAAAAAGGGGGCGTGGCCCACCCCATGGCGAAATTAGGTTGAGCGAGCTGAATGACCTGCTGCAAACGTGTAGAAACATGACGTCTCTCGTAAGACATTTATCGCTGTGAAAATTGGCATACATGTAGATCAATAGATTCCCCAGATGCAAAAAAAATTTGGTAGTGACAAATTATTTCCTTCGACTTAATTTTAATGATGAAAGTTGCCTTATATATACCAAGGATTTTCTCAAAGCTGACTGATTGTAAATGAAAAAGAAATTAATTAAAATGTAGGCCAAGATGTCTACCTAATTATAAGGCCGAAAACGGAACTCAAATATATATATCGAAAGTACTAATTTAATAATAAATAGACACACACATCGGAAAATTAAAAACTCGGATTTTTCGGCGCCGATTGCGAATTCCCATACACAAAAAGTAGTAGTCTCCCTTGACTTACCGAAGTCCCTACCTATAGAACGGTAATTTACCACTTGAGCGTCGGCCAAGAAAAAATCCAGCTGTTCCGGTTGGAAGGGCTATTTAAACAACTATTCTTACATTGGAGTCTGTTAATATTTTTGCTTTCGTATAGGCTATAAAGTTATATGGCACAATACTTATACATTTAAATAATTATTACTGCCAAGCTACCGATATGCCAGGAAGAAAAGGAGACAACAATTATTACTTTTTTTGGATCCAGATGACGCGGTTACTGAAAAGACAGTTTGGCACAAGAAGCGCCGGTGATATTTCCCCTTCATATTTACGTGGATTCATGTACCGTGTACCACAACTGATTTCGTGGAAATTGTATTTGTTAAAACTTCATTGTCAACTTGGGGGAGAACTATGCATAATTCCATATTCACACATTATCTTCTATTTCAAAAAAATTGTTATAGTTTTTTTTATTTTAAAAAAAAAATTGTCTATTATTATGGGAATGAATAAGTACAACCAAATGTCATTAAAAATAATATAAGAATAGTTGTTTAAATAGCCCTTCCAACCGGAACAGCTTGATTTTTTCTTGGCCGACGCTCAAGTGGTAAATTACCTATAGAACTATATTTAAAATAGTAATAGATTTAAAAAATACAATAAAATTATAAACATAAACGTATTTTTACTTGCTTCGTGTTTCTTCAACGCTACCAGTTCATGAAGGTCTTCAAAATATGGCAAATTTCTCGATCGATTGTAATGGCTCCAAGATGGCAAACCAACAGGAAATATCCGTGATAACCGTCACGTGACCAACCGAATAATTATAAAGCCCTCACGTGAACACCGGGTCCGAATAGCCAATTGCTGTATAGCCACTCCATTTCTGTAAACTATTAGTTGCAGTATAGATTTTAGCAGTATAATAATTTAAATAATAATCTAACTCTTCAACATCGGCTATTCAAAAGTCGTGTTTTTCGGGTCTGAAGTACTATTTTACCAGAAATACCACAATTTACAGTGGAGAGAGGGGCACTCAGTGTATCCGCTGGCATTGAAAGACAGGGTGGGCGCCGTTTTCTTGTAGGTGTCAGACTGACGTGCGATCATTTGAGTACCTACCCCATTCATTGTTATCTTAGGCGAAAACTGTAATAAACTCAAACTCAGCTCATTTATATTTCTTAATATTATATTATTTTCGTGCATTAAACTGTTCAAGTTTTAAAAAATTATCTTTTTAAGGATAATTATATATGTGCTGAAATGCATATGTACAGTGTCATAAAAACAATTCCATTTATTTTTGTACAATATAAGAATTTTATCTTATCAGTAAAAGAATATACGGTTAAATAGCACTTTGAACGTGGAAAAAATCATGTTACTTGATAATTCAGGAAAATAAATTATCAATATAAAAAATAACACCATAGAAATAAAATTATCATATCATCATCTCTATTGTTCTCTCTCTCTCTCTCTCTCTCTCTCTCTCTCTCTCTCTCTCTCTCTCTCTCTCTATCTATCTATCTTTGTATTATGTTTCCATCTTTCTTATAATAAATACTATTTTATGTATTTTTTAAAGATCAATGGTGTTGTTTTTATTGGGGGGGTTTTAGGTTTTAAAAACTACTTTGTGAGTTATTCTTCATTTTGCAATCTCTATAATTCTCTAATACTAATACAATTATTGAGATTTTGTTTTCCTTTACAAAAAAAAAAAAAAAAAAAAAAAAAAAAAAAAAAAAAAAAAAAAAAANNNNTTTTTTTTTCTTTAAAAAAAAAAAAAAAAAAAAAAAAAAAAGACAATAATTATAAACGCTTTTCTCGGTAAATAGACTGAGATAAATAACAATTGAATCTCGCCGTAAAAAACCTCAAAGCGTTCATAGAAACCAAGTTAATTTTGGAAAGCCATACAACAAAAGACATGAAAAAGAAGCGAGGAACTAAAAAAAAGTCAGTTGGTCTTAATGTAATATCATTTGAATTGTCAAATAATAATTGTTAACCGAAGGACATTATTCAGCAAACGTAGTTATTGTCAACCGAATCACAAAGTTCAACAAATATATAATATAAGGATAATGCTAGAAATTATATTATATAATTAAATAAATATCTTTGTACATATTGTTTAAATTATTACATTTTGTTTATTTCTTTATTATTGTTTTCAAAATGTGATAAATATTACATATTTACAGGATTTTAATTACAGAGTAAGATTTTTAAACAAAAAAATGGCTAACTTAACTCAGAGCCATCAAATATCAAAATCAATTCAATTGTCAATATGTTCAAATTTTTGTCTCAGAATGAAAAAGTATGAAGTCATGTCAAATGTTTTTTTACAGTAAAGGTGTTTCATATTTATTTATTTCAATATTGTTTTAAAAGTTACACATGCTACATGTTTGAGTAAATAAACTAATTTTTACAATCTTATTTAATGTATATATTCCTATTTAGTTTTAATTTTAATACAAGTGCACCTGATTTATAAAATTAAATTTTATTCAGGAAGAAGACCTCAAATTCAAAGTCAACAAACAATGCTGATGGAGAAGATAAGATAGAAGGATCAGAGGGTATTAACCCAAGCACTCTCATATCAGAAAATGATCCTCAGGGCACAAAAGCTGATACAAAAAAGAAGAAAAAAGGAAAAAAGAAAAAAGTGTCTAAATCTGAGAAGTCTATGGTGAGTAGGTAGAGATTTGAAGAAATGTAGTTTGAAATTATTAAATGTAAACTTTGTTTATTAAAACATGTATCACATTCTTGATTTGAATATTTTTGTAATGTCAATATTTATACCTGCAACACACAAGCTTTATAATCTCTGATTAGCACACACATAAGATTTTAAACATTTATACATACTTAGTTTGCATATTTCATATTTGTATATTTTGAGTAAACCATAAAATTAAGACCCATTAGCTCCATGCCTCTTCTTATTTTTCGTGATGATTTTTGTTCTCTAAAGTGTTCTTTTACCATTCATGTTATGGAGATCCATGCCTTGCATCATTCAGTTTAAACATTTGATAATCATAAAAGTAACTGTATTTGTAAAACTTTGTCATTTCTCTATATGTATTTTGACTGATGTTTTCCCACAAGCTTGCTCTGGAAAAAAAAATTGAGAAACTTAAATTAAATGAATCCAACTATGACAGCATCATTAATCGAATGCATCAGTGGATGGTGGACAAAGCCAAAATTGCAACTGATGTTTTTAAGCTGATGGATATTAATGGAGAGGGTTTGCTGTCTTATGATGAGTTCAAAGCAGGTACTTTCACATTAACAATCACTATTTTTTTTGTGTTTTTTTAAATTAAAGCTGGTGGGGACTTCTTATATATATTGCAATTTTTAAAATTTGGTTCCAAATGTATTCATTATTTTAGATTCATGATAAAGATATCATCTGTTGTTCAAAATTAAAATACCAAATCTAGATGTATCCCTATGAAATATTTACTTAGCTTAAATCCTATTTATTACATAATTTTTATTGTTGTAAAAATAGGTATGTTTGACTTAAATGCCCCTCTGAATAAAGTAGAGCTTCATCTGCTATGCACACTTCTGGACAAAGATGAGACTGGAGAAATAGATTACACTGAGTTTAAGGCAGGCTTACAATTAGTTAGGTGAGAGATTTATAAATTAATTCTCATTGTGTTACTCACTTTATTTTAAGAAGTTGAATAAAAGCTGAAAGAGCTATCTTTTGAAAATGATATTAATAGTTGTCCGTAAATATTAATTTTTGAAATTACTATTTTGTCATAATTATACTCGATTGATGTCAATAATTTTAAGATAACTAATTATATACTCAAACAGAGAAGTGAGAGAAGTAGATCGCCAAAGATTCCGCGACGATCATATTCTTTTGGCTACTCAGCGCAAGTTTCCTACATGTCCTTGCTGTAAAATGATCATAACTGAACCATGGAGGGAAGAGGTGCCTCGGTAGGTTTGCTTAGAATCCCTATTCATCATTGTTTCAATATGCTCATACTCCGTGCATTTCTTAAATATTTTCCTTTTCTATTCATTCAGCTACATCCTGTTGGAGTTGCGTTGCGTTACCTTTGACATGATTAAAGATTACCCTGGCCACTTGAAACTGTTAGTTCACGCCCACCTGCGTATCTGCGGTCTCATTCAGATGATTATAGCGGAAACAGACATAAGCTCAACCAAGCTGGCTGTTTTCCGTGACAAGTCTCGGAGTGCCGATTCGGTTCTCTCCCCCGACATTACCTTGGAAGAGTACGGGTTTAATGGTGATAGTCGAGACAGTCCAGAAGAGCAGACTTTGTTTTATGACTACACAGTCGAGTTCACTGACTGTCCTATATTGATGTGTGATCATTATTTTGGACAAAAGGTGCAAATTTGATAGGAACTCCCTGACAATTTTGGCTCATAGGCGCCACATATTTTTTCATTGGAAGTCTGTCTTGTGTTAATTAAGTAGAACTTCCATGAGAATTATTGGATTTATCTGTCATGTTTTGAATCAAACTTTTAAAAAATCTACACTAAATTTCTTTGCATTATACCTCAGTAATATATATTCTATATAAGAGATATATAAGAGCATCATTTCTCACACCTTTCAGACTAACAGGAATTTATCCCCATTGCAGCAAGGTCTTATAATTTTTTTTAATAATAACAGAAAAATTGGGCACATTTCGATATATATTTCACCTTTTATGGATTCAAAATCATTGCTTTAGACTGCAGCTATTGTAATATTTGAAAGACTATCCTCTAAATATATCAAAACCATTTTTTGACTTGAACTCATACCAAAAAAATTTCAGGATAAAAAAAGTTTATTCAGCTGAGTTGTATTCTATGTGCTAATTTTTTTTTTAAATTTCCATTAAAACTATATTATAAAAAGTATTCTTTTATTAATACTTTTATTTTTTATTCCATTACTGTTATTTTTTTAAATATTATTGTTCCAAAATAAACAGTAAAAATGGGCAGTAAAAACAAAATTTTATCTTATTAAAATTTAATCATGCATGCTAAGTGAGTAACTGAGTTTTTTTTAAATTTATTTGTGTAAGACATGTCAATATATTTCAAATTTTAATAATTTCTTCAAAATTTCTTCATTGATCAACATAAAAGATGTCATCAAGTTCCTTAGATTTCATTATCATTATCATGTAAAAAAAAAAAAATTACACTGTTACTTAATGCAAAGGTATTGCAGGACTGTAATAATTTCAATGATTATTTGTCTGTTGGTAATAAAGCAATCTCAGTGTATCACTATATCAACAAAATTCTCTAATCAATGAAAATTGAAACCGAACAAATGTATGTAAATAAAGAATATTATTTTATTTCTTTCAAATTCAAACTTGAAAATTTTAAAATGTTATAGAAATAAAATATTTTTGGGGTGCTTTTTTAATGCACTTTACTAATGTAATAATGTAACAATAATAGAGATACCATTTTAAGAAGTTATAATCTAACATTCAATCATCTGTTGGAGATAATTATTATATACAGTGCAGCTACACAATGAAGCTGTGTTGGGTAAACGACATCAAATTCATATGATGTGGCTATTGCCACCAAAACTGTCGGTCAGCTCAATACCCAACCTCAACTTAAATAAGGCAACTTCTTTATTGGTATGACCATGTGAAACAAACAGCAGACAGCTGTTTTATTTGATACTTTACAGAAAGCCATAACAATCTGATTAAGAGCATATTTTTATTAATCAAATTATTAGACAAAGCATATACCGGTATAAGAAATGTTTACCCCGGTAACAAAATTATATAATCAATAAGGAACAAACAAAAGAAATGCTGAAAAAAAATATTTTTACAATGAAATATAATAACCAAACTTACAAATTGTGCAAAATGCACTATAAAACTAATATTTGTCCAACACACTTATGACATATCAGAGAAGCCAAGTGTGTCCAGTTGGATACACTCAATATTCAATCAACTATCCAAGGTTTTTGAGACGATTTAACCAAGTCATAACATGACAAATCCAACGAGTTTAAAGTAGAAAATCGACAACAAAAATCTAATAAAACAAGAGGTGAAGCAAAACAAGATCAATAGGTGCTACTTTTCTAATGATCCCTAATACTGTTTAAAATATGTCAATTTGACATACAAATGCAATGCTTATGATTGAGAATGTCCACAGTGGTAAATTATTTGGTATGAAATGAATACAGACAAAAAAATGAGATTCTTTTGGAATGTTGAAAACTCTTTGTTAGCAGATGCTCTGATGAACTTTGACCTTGTAGAGAATATAAAGTAACCATGACATGAAATATATGAGTGTATTCATTGGACATTTTATTTGCCTGCATCTTTCTGAAACTTTTGGTTGTCGTTCTCGCTCAAAGTCTCTTCTTCATCACTAGTCCACTCATCATCATCATCATCATTGTCGTCACAACAGGTATCAGTATCTGCATTGACCTCGGTCTGAACGTTAGAGGTCGCTTCTCCTGTTTTCACTTCCAGAACCTCACTTGCTACATTTGGATAATTCAGTGTCTCTTTGTCTCCCTCTGTGGCCACACACTGGCCAGAGATTTTATTTGTAGATTCAATCATCTTTATGGACAAAGCCTTTCTGGCTAGAAATTCCACCATTTTTTTTCTCTCTTCTGTGTTGAGTATACTCTCAAAGCCAACATTCCAAAATGGTTCCTCCTCACAAGCATCCACCGCACTCTCCGATAAAACAGTCCGGCTTGAGACAATCATCTCTATTTCCTCTTCTTCTGATTTGGTTAGATGACATTTTATCCCCGCAACTTTGCACAGCTGTTCAGACTTGACATCCTCTACATCTGCAATAACTGTATCACTTTCTGTGTCATCAGGCTGGCCCAAACCAAGCTCAAATATAGTCTGGATTAAGTACTTGTTTGAGGTCTCATCAAACAGCGTCACAGTTCTTGGCTTGAGCTTAACTATTTTCACCAGGACTTCTTGGCCAAAGAGAACTTTGTTGATACCATGTAGGATTCGTTGTGTCCATTTGCCTCCATGCTTCTTGGGTGAAAGGATTGGCAGGTGACACCGCCAAGCCATGACAGGGAAATGCTTGATGCTAGTGTGGATAGGTCTGAGTCGATCATGGGGAAGTACCTCAGTCGTTCCAAAGTCAAAGTAAGTTACCATGCAGACCTTGTTTAAAGGATATGCCTTTACAATGATAGCTCTGTACCACCTGCTATCAACAGAATACTGACCTGAAAAATAAGAAGGTTTTATAGCTTGTTCCTTTTATTTTGTTCACAAAACTATCACATAAATTCATAAATACTATGGCCAAATCCACACGATGAGCTCATTATACAAAAATACTATTTGTTTTAAGTTGAGTATTTCTAAATTGACAGTAAAGAGAAATCGTGGGGAGAGTGCAAGATAGCTGTGTAGAAGAACATAAAGAGAACATGGTGTTAGAAAAAATGTTCAAATCTACTTCTTCAATTACCGGTACTTCAAATGTTAAAACATTGCTAGAGTTGATTACTTTCAATAAATAACTAGATAGAAAGGAAATTTTAGTCAATGAAAATGAAATCTAAAACAGCAACTTGCTTCCCACAAAGCTGTTTTATCACCAACCCTTCATAAAGAAAACTGCCTAATATCCAATACACACACACAAATGTCTTGTAAAGTTAAAAGAAACTAAAAAGAGGTGATGTGGATTAGTCTTGTAAAGTTAAAAGAAGCTGACAAGAGGTGATGTGGATTAGTCTTGTAAAGTTACAAGAAGCTGACAAGAGGTGATGTGGATCAGTCTTGTAAAGTTACAAGAAGCTGACAAGAGGTGATGTGGATTAGTCTTGTAAAGTTACAAGAAGCTGACAAGAGTTGATGTGGATTAGTCTTGTAAAGCTGACAAGAGGAGATGTGGATTAGTCTTGTAAAGTTACAAGAAGCTGACAAGAGGTGATGTGGATTAGTCTTGTAAAGTTACAAGAAGCTGACAAGAGGTGATGTGGATAAGTCTTGTAAAATTACAAGAAGCTGACAAGAGGTGATGTGGATTAGTCTTGTAAAGTCCCTAAAAGCTGACAAGAAGTGGATTAGTCTAGTTCTAACAACCTCAAGAATTTATTAATGCACTCCTCAGTCATGCATATATGCAGTACAATTTATTACACAAAGAGATTGAAGTTTCCCATTAAGAAAAGTAATTGAAGTAGACTTTTTATTTACTTAGAAATAAAACTCCTTTAACAACTAAAAAAGGCGGCAGCCCTAGAAATAAAACATCACTAACACCTTAAAATGACAGTAGCCCTAGAAATAAAACACCTTTATCAACTAAAAATGGTGGTAGCCCTAGGAATAAAACATCACCAACAACTAAAAATGTTGGCAGCCCTAGGAATATAACATTGCAAATGACAAATGTCAGTCTAAACAGAAAAGCTTACCACAATTATACAAGTGGAAGTACCCTTACTAGGGGTGTGCCGGAGTCCGGTCCGGAATCCGGTTCCGCCGGATTTTGCACTATCCGGTGAAATCCGGTTCCGCCGGATTTACATGTATCCGGAACAACCGGATTCCGGAATATACCGGATTTCGGAATTTGCCAGATTTTGTGACTCACCGGATCATAATCTGAAATAAAAGTAATTCTCTTTCCCGAATTCCACACGATCACGATACATTAATCGATTGTTTCGAGCGTTGAGCTTGTTTAATGTTTAATATTCCGTACATACCAGAGGCTAGAGTCAGCACCGCTAATAGTGGCCAATAGTGTAGGGACTTTGATAAGAAAATTTAAACTTTTTGTAAAAATAAACCAATGGCATAGTTGAAAAGATGTAATTTTTTAAAGAATTATAACACCAAAATCATATTTTTAGCTGTTGTAGTTTTAAAGTTATGAATTTTTAAAGTACGACTTGGTTTGTCATTTTTTAACATGGACTGCATCTCCACATTCTGTGATCTCATTCCGCCAATCCCGTCATGCGCAATGACTATATAGTTTATATAAGGCAACGCATTCCCTGCCTTATCACTAAAATACTGTTTAGACTTAGTTTAAACTTTCAACTTTGGCACATGAATAATTAATTAAAGCTTTCCCTGACCAATGGTTTAATAGTTTTTGCACACGGCAAACTCTTATGAATGAAACTCTGAGGTAGTACTACGATACAGTTATGCAAGTGGCTGTGAATGGTTGCCAATGACAACGTGTTGCACACGGTAAATTCTGATCATTTATAATATGGATTCTACCGGGTTGTTAAAGCTCAAATTAAAACATTCCAGTTTAAATGTCTTTAAATGCATTCTGAAACACAAGTTATCAATTATTTTGATGTAAATAGTGATAATATATTAATATTTCCTAAGTATCGTCAACTTCCGCCATTAAAAAGGGGGGCGTGGCCAACCCCATGGCGAAATTAGGTTGAGCGAGCTGCATGACCTGCTGCGAACGCGTAGAAACATGGCGTCTCTCGTAAGACACATATCCAAATGGAACGGAACTCAAATATATATCGAAAGTACTAATTTAATAATAAATAGACACACACATCAGAAAATTAAAAACTCGGATTTTTTGGCGCCGATTGCGAATTCCCATACACAAAAAGTAGTAGTCCACCTTGACTTACCGAAGTATCTACCAATAGTACAAAAATCCGGAATCCGGGAGAAACCGGAATCCGGATTATTCCGGAATCCGGATCCGAATCCGGCGGATTTCGCATAAGAAAATCCGGATCCGGTTGGAAAAAACGGATCCGACACACCCCTAACCCTTACCTTCTAGGAGAAAGCCCTCCTCCGTAGGCATGTCCTTAAATGAAACTGTTGTTTGCTTGTTGATGTCTTCCATCAGAGCCTCGAATTGAGAAATCCTCTGATTCCATGCAACACTCTCCTTTGTGGCAGTACAACTAGAAGAAAGATGGACAAATCTTTTATAATAATATCTGTTTATATTGCTTTTTATTTAGGTGGGTACATTTACAAAAGTGTAATAAAGTTGTTTTCCAGTGAAATGCTTTTGAACTGCAAAGTTCATTTCAATTTAATCAAA